AACTGGCTCAGTGATTTATTCCCTGTTAAGTGATTGTTTAACCTTTTCAAGCAGCAGATTTATAGCAGTCTCTGTGGAATGATTATATCTGAAGCCAAACTGAAGGGGATGCAGGAAATTGGTACTTTCTAAATACAATAGTAGTTGTTCTAGAATAATTGTCTCCATCAGTTTTGACATGATCGGAACAACTCTTATTGGCCGATAGTTACTGATGTCATGAGGACTACCTGAATTAAAAATCGGTTTCGCCAAAGCTTTTTGCCATGCAGCAGGATATTGCCCTGTTCTGATGGAAATGTTAACTATGTGGGTTAAAGGTTATATTAAGGAATAATAGAAAATAGCTGTATCTAAAAACAACAAATTAGCGTCTAAATTATACATGTGCTTATGCAATGTATGCCAGTGTTTTTGCCAGATTTTTCATACGTCAGGCATACTGTACGCTGGCTAAATCGTCAAGGTGCGACAGGGGCTTAACTAGAATGGAGACAAGGGGAAAGGAAACAGGCCAAAGGGGGCAACAGAGGATAAGAAATACAAAACTGACAGAAAACAACTACAAGGACACAGAATAACAAAGAAACCAAAAATAAACTTAAACAGTGGGCAGAAACCTGACATTTTGTACCATGTATATCCATTGGCGCTGGTAATAACTTTAACTGAAGAGAGGTAAAAAAAACTTGCTTGCTGCTGCAAGTTTATATTTGTAATTAATCCATGCATTGGGATTCAGTAAACTTTTTAATTGTTTTCAGATCATCTAACCGTTCCCTCTTACTTCTGACAGAATATTTTTGTAATATTTACCCTTAGATATTTTACATTTCTTTAACTACTCTGTTCCTCAAACTTTTAAAAAGCAGCCATTCTGTGGTCCTTTTGTTTTTGATGAAAGATTTAAGGGTTTAATCTCTCTTTTTCATTAACTGCTGAATGTCATCCGGTACCCAAGGTAGCTGTATTTTTCTTCATCTCTTCCTTAGAGTTTTAAGAAACATATCCATAGTATTACAAACATTGAGAATATATGTATTGCAGCAATTATTTATCTGATTCTGGTTTGAAACATCTTCCCAATTCACACTTGCTAATTTGGCCTCATATTTGGGTACATATCTTCTTGGAATTTGTATTATAATCTGCTTCTCTGTATTGTAATGACTGACAAAATTATTTCAAGGTAATTTTCTTGCAATGAGAGTGATATTGTGGTCGGATAAGCCGCACACTAAGTTATATGCTATTATGATTCGACCAGGTTTATTAAAAAAAAAAAAAAAAATGTAATCTGTTTGACTGTTTTTGGTGATGCGAGAGGGACCATTGATTAACTGATGAAAATCTAATTTTGCTGTCAAATCTCTAAGTGATTTTTTTCAATTTATCGTCCATCTAGTTTATATTACGATCTCCCAAAAGTATTTCATTATTGTTGTATTTGAATCCTATTAACAAATCTTTTAAGTAATTATAACTATTATAGCTACAATATGATGGAGGACTGTGCATTACCATAATATTAAAATTCATATGAGATGAAAGACAAACATTTATACATAAACATATATTAATATATGATCATCTATTAATATCTCATTGACCTTAAATTAATTTTTTTAATATAAATTAATACTTCCCCTCCTCGACCTACCTATCCTTTCTGAAACATGTATATCAGATACATCAATCATATCATTAGGAATATTATTAGTTAGCCAGGTTTCACTTAAACATAAATAATCCAAGTTAGAACAAATTAGCAATGTTCTTATTTCCTTACATTTGGATATGAGTTGTTTATATGGTCAAACCTTCTGTTTTGCTATAGCTGAGGCTAGGCCTTGAACCGGTGGGTGGACAGGTTGAGCCACTGATCCATCAGCCATGTTCTCCATGCTCCACGTCAGAGCCACAGTAAAACACTGATCAATACCATAACTGAGCTGTGAATGACAATATTAAATCACTTTACTTCCTGCTCTGTATTTTTCCTCTTCATTAATAACAAATGGTTTATTTGAAGGACTGACGAACAGGGTACAACTTCTACAACTCATTAGTTGCTGAGTAGCATACCTCGAGGTTAAGCATGTGCCCTTAACTTGTTGGTGGTTTTGCTGCTTCTAGGGGCATTCATATTTTTTGGTGCCTAATTTACTTTGCTTGTGGTTCCATGTATTACATAAAGCAAACAGTAAGGACAAACAGAACATCTGCTGCAAGGTTACACAGGTCTATGAGTGCTGCATGGAGGAATCATGCTAATACGAATCCATATCTATCGCTTTCTCTCTTCTTTTGTCCCCACTGACATATAAGAACATTTTGCTCATGAGAAATCATTTTTAAGAAACAGCAAAGCCTTGTTGCTGACCTGTTTTATTAATAATTTACTGTTTAGTTCAAATATAATTTATTTAACATTTAATTCAAAGTCAAATAGAATTCCTGCACAGCTGACAGCTTGGGCTGTTCACTCAGATTAAGCCACAATGTAACAGGCTATTCATATTTCTGTGAAAAGCAGAGACTACGGGGGCTTTTTGTGGTGTTTGCTTGTCCTCACCTCTCTATTAGCTCACAGCTCTTTGGTCATTATGTAACCATGAGAACAAATATCTCTTTATCTTAATCAAGATGAGCGGCCTTCAGGCCACTCTTCGCTCTCTGTGTACGTGTGTGTGTGTCTGTTTGTTCTACTCTTATTATTATAGTCTGGACCATAGGCAAAGCATACCAGCAGCACTAAGTTAATATCCTTTCAACACAGCAATAATTAATTAAACAGATCTGATGTTGAGTAAACTCTTCTTATAAACTGTCTTTGTTCGGTGCTTGACGCTATTTATTTTATAACATACCTTTCATACGTATAAGGAAACTGATAAATAAAATTGAATTATGGGGGACTGTTGGCCTAGTGGTTAGAGCAGTGAACTTGTGCTCTGAGATTTGTGCTCGTTTCGATCCCCACAGCCTCTGCTCTGGGTTCCTGAGCAAGACCCTTAACCCCATATTGCTCCCCGGGTGCCGCACAGTGGCAGCCCACTGCTCAAGGGATGGGTTAAATGCAGAGGTAAATTTCTCCATTGAGAGATCAATAAAGTTCAATTATTATGAATGATTAAATGAGCAAACAAAAATATTTCAATAATTAGGCAACCACGACCTCTAGTGGTGTTAAGTGAAAATAAGCCAAATGTAATATAAAAATGTAATGTCTTTGTTACACAAAGAAATCTTATACACAATGAAAATAACAGTGGATTGTCTTTAACAGACATAAAAAGTTAAGTTAAGTTACATAATCTCATCAGATAAAGATCAGAAATATTTGTATAACCGGATACTGAATAAAATACTGAATTCACAAGGGACGTGTTAAAAAAATGAACAAGTTGCCCTGATATCAAGGAAATCATATTCGTGCTATGATAAATAAAAAGATTTAAAAGTTAATATACTGCTTTCTTGTGAAATCATGTGGTACAATCTAAAAATAAAGAGAAGAAAAATAAACTTGAGAAAATGAAAATCAAATATGGACACTATTTGATAGTGAACAAGGTTGGTGCAAAGGAAATTCTATTTTGGGCTTCCTACTGCCTTGAGCCAGGTCTGCTTACATATGCATGTTTATGTATGTATATTGTATAAAGGGGTTAAGTCATACGTTACCTCAGGGTCTGCTTTTCATGTGTGACACAAATAAGTGAAAGAAACGGGTAAGTTAGCAAGAGACATGCACCCCTTATGGCATCATGAATTCTTCAGTCTTTCAGCATCAATTATCACATTTTTCTGTATTTGAACAGTCATCCTTTTTGACAGACCTTGCACTTCGGGATGGTATGATTTTATTTCATTAAGCTTCGATAAAATATGATCTATTCTATGCACTGTTCTCTTGTGGTTTTGACAAATCATTTCATCCTGGTTGAGATTCGGAATAAAAATCAATGTTGGATTAGGAAGCTAACTTTTTAATTTATTTACCTATACCTTTTTCAACTTTTACAAAGATGATAGAGTCATTCAATACAGCTACAACTAATAAAAACAAGAACCACCCACTATAAATCACAATAACAGTTGACTGACTCCACTAGAATCAAACAATGTAATCAAAATTTTTTATTTAAGGTTCGATTCCTAAAAATCTAAATTTGAATAACTTTCATATCTAACAACCTCTATTTTTATAATATAAATAACACTTTTGGGGATTGTCCCTAAAGCCTTTTCTACAAAATTCTAATAGTTGTTTTAATCTGATGTTATCATCTTCCTAATTGACAGGAATGCAACAACCCATCAGAATTTCACCCATCCTTCTGATTCACAGTATTTCTATTTTCAATTTTTATTATGCTGTGCTTGATTTGACTTAACATTTTGGGCAGTTTTGCATTTTCCCTTAACCGTTGGGGAATCCTGACCTGCTTTATCTGGTGATTTGCAATTGGTATTCTTTCAAGATTGAGAGGCAACAACCAATTTCCTTAGAAAACATAAATAGGATTGTTTTTGTATAAATAATGGAGTACACTACTGTGACCGTGCTTTCATGTTAAGCTGTTTGACCTTGCACAGGTAGGCCTAGTATCTACACTTCAGAATGTGTCTCTAAACAGAGTATTATTTATATGGTTTTATATGGGTTAATTTTAGATCATCATAATTCTCCTGGGTCCATATAACATCGCATTGTCAGATCAAACACAGCAAAACAAAAGAAACGTTTCTGCAGCTTTAATCAGATGGGCGGGGATGGTCGAGAGTCACCAAATCACAGCCATTGGTTACTTTAAAAATGTAGCGCCATCTAGCGGAGAGGCGGACCTTGTGAATAACATACGCTTTTTCTAAATATTAGCGTTAAAAGCTTGCCTTTTTTGCATCAAAATTGTTCGTATGGCACTCAAAAACAATTGGTATCCCCATACAGGTGTGCATACTGCTCTTGGAGCATGATAATACCCCAGGTTTATTTTGTCGGAGAAGTGACGTGTGCATGCGGCTTGTCTGGTGACGTGTCTCTTCAACTCTCTTTCCTCTCGCGGCGGCTGATGGAGCCACACTGACTCCTCTGTGCACTCAAACTCTTAACAGCTACACAGCAGGAGTCGGTCCGACGACACCATGGGGAGTAAGTACTTTTCTTCTTGGTTATTGTTGTTACCTTTTTGGAGGTATATCTGCACCAACAGTTGTGTTTTCATACTGAAAAAGCCGGGAGCAGGGAGCTCTCGCAGGGAAGCTAAGTGGCTAACCTTCGTCAGGTTAGGTGGAAAGTTGAACCTCCTTATAAAGAGCATCAGTTTAAAGCGTTAAATCTCTGAACGTGCAGTTAGTTGCACATATTACACTAAGGTTAATGAAGACGTACGTGCCTCGGATGTGGTTTTTGAACGCTTTTGCTACCTGGTTTGCGGGAAAATACTGTAGTTAGCCTGTAGCTAACGTTAACTTCTCTGACATAATTTACAGCTAAATTGTTTTTTTCCTCAACTGTTTAAACGCTGTTGTGTGGTATCTATCAGATCTTGTTCAGTCTGGTGTCTGGATTGCTTTAAATGAGTACATAGCGGTTTCTATAGGCAGACATCAGACAGCTGAGTGACAGTAGCTGGAAAGACAACTGAAAAGAGGCTGCAGACGTGATAGCAGTGGCTCTAAGGCTTTATCATGTAAATAATGTTCTTCAGTAATCATGTGAGCAACTTGCCTGTTGTTTTGCTTTCCTGACAGCTGGTTAGTGATGACGTTGCATCTGCTCTCACCTGGTCTAAAAGGTGTAGGTCAAACTAAAGTATTGCTGACGCAGCAGAACCAAGCTGTCTGTCTTGCATCTACTACTAACTAAATACACACTTTTTTTTCTTTTGCTTTTCTTTCTCCAGTCAAATTTTTGGAAGTCATCAAGCCTTTCTGTGCAGTCCTGCCAGAGATTCAGAAACCAGAAAGAAAGGTATGCGCTGGTCCTTTTTAATAAAATAAGATTTTTAGGTTTATAACCACATTTTGTTGAGTTTCAGTTGAGATCAAGGAATATCTATGCAGGTTGTAAAATAAGGTGGTGTTTTAAACTTTTATTTTAATTTTTTTTTTTTTTTAGAAAAATTTATTTTATATTTTTCCTTAATTTTTTTGCATAATAGCATAAAAACCACTAACAGTCTGTAATCAGCTCCCAATAATTATTTTAGTTAGACAAATCTAGAAATTAGTTTATTGAAATATCAGTAGAAATGAGAGAATTAATTTTTAAACAAACAGCATTCTTCTTGCAATGTTTTCCAAAGAATATGGGGTTGAACTAATTTGAATTTCTGAGGAAAACTGAATTTTCCACAAGCTGCAAAAGCCAGTTCTCAATCTCAATAATCTTAGGGTCAATCTTTGGTTTGTAGATAGTGTTTAGTTCAAAACAATCTTTAACAGTATTCGGGTAATTAAAACAATAAAATTTTTGCTTATTTTTCTTCTAATAGTAGGGGTAAAAGGCAATGTATTTCTTTTTCAGCCTCTGCAGTTTATTTAGGGAACTGTGATGTTCCATTTCAATTGCTCTTTTCTTTTTGTTACAGATTCAGTTCAGGGAAAAGGTGCTATGGACCGCCATCACATTATTCATCTTTCTGGTGTGCTGCCAGGTTTGTATCTGTTGACGTATCTTAAAATAACAATTTGTTTTGACAGCCCTTTTTGATTTGCATAATGATAAATTTTTTGAAAACTTTTTTCAGATCCCACTCTTTGGGATCATGTCATCTGATTCAGCAGATCCTTTCTACTGGATGAGAGTCATCCTGGCCTCCAACAGAGGTGTGTATGTCAAATGTCTGCCACACTTAAGATGTGAAAAACCCATTCAGTGGGAAAAATAAACTTTCATCTACATGGTGAGACAGCTTTTATAGGCTTTGAAAGAACAGAAGACTTTCAGCAGATAAGAGGAAGGCTGAACAGAGAACTTCAATATTACTCTGTGCTCTTTTTATGCTCTTTTTATTTTTTTAAAGTTTTATTTCTATTCACAAAAAGAAATACAGAATGTAATGCAGGTTATATTAGCAGTAATGTTGCATCTGCCTATTCTGTTTTATTCAAATTCTATTATGAATCACAATACAAAAATGTCGATATCATCCAGGAAAATGTTCAATGTTTGATCCCAATGGGATTAAAGTATGACAAATAGTTAAAGGTGTTGGGGGGCAAAAAATTAATTTTGTAAAATTCAGCTTTTTTTTTCAATCCTACCATTTAACGTGGTCCATTAGCTGAATCGCAGGTGCTAATTAAATAAGTGTGCAGAATAAATAACCTAAAAACCTAAAATTAACTATAAAAAATATATTCAAACTTGTAGAAGTATCAATATCATGCCAAATTAGTATCTAGATACGTGTCAGTATCTTTACTTTTCGAAAATCCTAAATATGAATAATCAGTGACAGCTGAAAGCCATTTTTGACAACCGTTATTAATGAATTGTTTGTTTGGTAACAGTGTTATCTAACCATTTATTTTTCACATATCTGTATACTTATAGTCTGACTCAGGGTTTTACTAAAACCCAGTCGATTTAATGCAGCTTCAAAGGCGGAATATGTGCTGAAAGAGAGGACAGTTGTAAGTGCAGGGACGTACCAGGAGAGCTGAGATGGAAGAATAGGTGGCACCGATTGGCTAAGGAGCTGTGATGTCGGCGGGCATTCAACACGCAGTGGTTGCTCACACAGAGAGCAGAGATGTGAGGCGGTGGCGCAGATCCCAGAGGAAGTGATAACGTTCCTAAACCAGAAGCAATCACTGAATTCAAAGACTGAACGTCCCTGTGATTTTCTCACTATGTTTGGGAACTAAGTCTTTCTCCGTGTCTGTAACTAGCAGCTCCAATATAAATGAAACTTCCATTATCTCACCTTCCAAAACACAGACTCACAACTGACTGCCTTAGTTTATTAACTTATCACTCTACACTTCTTCAGCATTACCCTAACATAGTTTGCATATAATACTTTGACACAGGAATACTGGAAGTTCAATCTTCCTGTTTTGTTTTTCTGTATCTTTAATTCCTATTCCATGTTATGATGCAGTCTTATTTACTGCTAGTTGCAGCCTGTGGTGCATAGAAATCAAGTTCTAAAGCACCTGCTTTACTTCGTTTTTTTTTCTAAAATATTTAGCATAAATATTCGCAGAAAAATATAGCTAAAGGGGAGAGCATGAGAACGGCCTTACATAAACATATCACCAGAATGATTGACAATTAGGAGGACCTCTTAATTACATGATCCACTCTGAAATAAAAGATTGTCCTCTATACCTTTAATAATTCACATTTATTTTTTTGTATTAAGAATTTAGTAGTTTGCCTTGAAAGAGATTACTTTAATCGTGCTGTAACTGAGTAACTAACTCAACCTTTTTGGAGAAATAACTAGTCTCTATAACTTGTTCCTTTTTTTTTTTAAATGAATCTGCCCAACACTCCTGACAGCAGGGGGGCTTGGTAAATAATATTCAACATACTGTTCTGTTTTCTTTATTTAATATAGGTGAGGCAAGGCAATTTTATTTGTATGGCAAAATTCAGTACATGGACAATTTAAAGTGCTTTACCTCAGCTAAAGTCGGGATGATAGGAAAAAGATTTCACTAAAAGCCAAAAATCAGTGACGATATTCTGACGGCTGAGTGTGTTTCTTTTCTAATAAAATCAAGTAAAACAAAGAGATGATGCTGCCGTTGGTCTGCGTTATCAGGTTATCTTGTGACAGACCAAAGGTTAACGGTTGTCTGTTCAGTTTTTTTCTGCTGGTTCTCAGAACTGCTGTTCTTCTCTTTGGTCTCCAGGTACTCTGATGGAGCTCGGGATCTCACCAATTGTCACCTCTGGTCTCATCATGCAGCTGCTGGCTGGTGCCAAGATCATTGAAGTTGGTGACACTCCCAAAGACAGAGCTCTCTTCAATGGAGCTCAGAAATGTCAGTCTTTTTGTTTTATTTTAATAAACCTTTCTGGATATCTTAGTTTGATATTTTGGATGTGTACAATTGTTGTTGATCTGTTCTTTGTTGAATCAGATTTTATTTTCTGTCCTTTATGCAGTGTTTGGTATGATCATCACCATTGGACAGGCCATTGTGTACGTTATGACTGGCATGTATGGAGATCCATCAGAGATGGGCGCTGGCATATGCTTGCTGATCATCATTCAGGTTGGTGCTAATGATAATAAGAGTTTCTTTTTAGTTTCAGGCTTAAAACTGTTCAAATTGATCCATGTTGATCTTCATGGTCTTGCTCAGATTTTGTGCCTTTTTTTCCAGCTTTTTGTTGCAGGTCTGATAGTGTTGCTCCTGGATGAACTTCTCCAGAAGGGCTATGGTCTAGGATCCGGTATTTCTCTCTTCATTGCGACCAATATCTGTGAAACCATTGTCTGGAAGGCCTTCAGCCCTACCACTGTCAACACTGGCAGAGGTATGGGAATTTAAACATTTTTAGAAAAATAAGATTGAATTCAGCTGTGCTAGACTGATCAGTCGGTGGCTTTATGTGGTTTATCCAGGTACGGAGTTTGAAGGAGCCATCATTGCTCTGTTCCACCTGCTGGCCACCCGTACAGACAAAGTGCGTGCCCTAAGAGAAGCTTTCTACAGACAAAACCTGCCTAACCTCATGAACCTCATCGCTACTGTCTTTGTGTTTGCCGTGGTGATATACTTCCAGGTGAGAGCATTATGCCAAATCATCTTCAGTTTTCCAAATGAGTGTGGGTTACATTTTTCCTGTTTTTTGGGGGGAATGTCAGGGCTTCAGAGTAGACCTGCCTATCAAGTCGGCTCGATACCGCGGTCAATACAACACCTACCCCATCAAGCTGTTCTACACCTCCAACATCCCCATCATCCTGCAGTCTGCCCTGGTGTCCAATCTGTATGTGATTTCCCAGATGCTGTCGACACGTTTCAGTGGCAACTTCCTGGTCAATCTTCTAGGAACCTGGTCTGTAAGTATATGACGGATGCTTTTTCACATGTTGTCACATTGTGGAAACGAGATGTGATGTTATTGTTGCAATTTTATATGACAGATACGCACAAAGGGGAACATCACAGTGACATGGAAATAAAATAGATGCGTCCATTTGTTGTCAATATTGAAATAATCCTTTCAGGTTACTGGCTGTTTCTAATTATAGGATAAACCTGAAAATCGTGCTGTATTTTTATCTTTTAATTTTTTAGATTGCCCTTGATGAAATCCAAATTATTCTGTTGATTTTAACTAAACTGCATCATGAAGAAAAAAAACTGTTGATCTGAGAGGAAGTTGTAGTGAGCTTTAATACAGGTTTACTTCTAAAAAAACCCAACTTTTTATTATAGCATATATATATCTGTCGGCAGGAAAACTATTAGCTTAGAGCTCCACATAGTTTACATTAATAGATGAGTAGTAAGGAGTGCATGTTGGTTCACCTCTCACCCTGTCTGAGGTTGAGCTTTTTGAGAAACAAGGGGAGCAAAATTTAACTTTGTAGATGTGTAAAAATCACAAAAGGTGGTCCACTCATTATCTCAGAGGCTGCATCAAATGTGTGGAGCTCTAAGCTAATAGTTTTCCTGCCGACAGAACACTGAACTCTAAACTGGTTTTATTCTTTAAAAAAAGAGGGAGATGGACATGTATCTGTCCCTTTTTTTAAGTTGGTCTGTATGTATATTTATACAATATATACAATATATGTATATTTGTGGTTATAACTGAAATATGGAAATCTTGGAGGAATATAGACACTTTTCTAGTCTCATGCTTCTATAGACTGATTATTAGGGTGTATTATAACCCTAGTTTGAACCAGCTCCATACACATGACTGGATTTCTGATGAAACCAAAATGTTTCCAGGATACTTCAAGTGGAGGACCAGCTCGGGCCTACCCAGTGGGCGGGCTCTGCTACTACCTTTCTCCTCCCGAGTCATTTGGTTCTGTTCTAGATGACCCGGTTCACGCGGTCATCTACATAGTCTTCATGCTTGGTTCCTGTGCCTTCTTCTCAAAGACCTGGATTGAGGTGTCAGGATCTTCAGCCAAAGATGTAAGTGTTGTGTTTTTATATCAAACCGCTTGGCCTCCGACTGAGTCCAACACTAAACTAATTTTTGTGTGTGTTTGTTTTGCTTTCCAGGTGGCAAAACAATTAAAAGAACAGCAGATGGTAATGAGAGGACACAGAGAGACCTCCATGGTGCATGAACTCAACAGGTACCTCCCACGTTTCATTTTGGGAATGGTGTTTATTAAATGATCTTTTAAAGTGACGTCTAATTTTGATTCCTTCCTGCAGGTATATTCCCACAGCTGCAGCATTTGGGGGGCTCTGTATAGGAGGGCTGTCTGTCATGGCAGACTTCTTGGGAGCTATCGGATCTGGAACTGGAATCCTCCTTGCCGTTACCATCATCTACCAGTACTTTGAGATCTTTGTGAAAGAGCAGAGTGAAGTCGGCAGTATGGGGGCTTTGCTCTTCTAATTTCAAATAGGCCAATCTGACCCACATGAGAAAGAATCCACTTATTTTTATTTTCGTTTTATTTTGTTTTGCAACCTCTTCTGTCAGTGTATTTTGCAACAGGGATAAGTAATCTTTTTTTTTTTTTTTTTTTTTTTTTTTTTTTTTTTTTTTTTTTTTTTTACTCCACCATTTTTGTTTTCCACCATACATCTCTTGCTATAGAGAATAAGACAAGTGTTCAGGTTACTTTAAGGGTTAAGTGTTGTATCTGTAAACATGGATTGATTTTTTAAATTTTTTTTTTTCTCAGTAGAGGTCTCTGCAGGCTGCCTGATTCACCCCTTGGCTGCCTTATCAGCCGAAAAACGCTTAAAAGCACACGGTTGTGAGTGGCTGTCTTTGAATTTCCTCAGGCATTTCTCATTGTAGGCGTATAAGGAACACTAAGACAGCAACAGCATTTTGATCTAAAGCTGAAGGTATTCTGTATGGACATTTCAGGAGGATCTGACAGAAAGCCTTGCCATGTTAATCACCTGTCAACCATGTTTGAGATTAAGAAAAGCCTGGAGAGTGATGCAGAAAGCATACCGAGAATAACGCGGTACTTCTAATAATTCTCTGGCTATCTCAGACAAACTATTTGTAACATTCGTTTATTTTTTTGTTTTAAATCACTGACTGTTTATATCAACACCCATCTTACGCTGGGTACAGCGTTTGTCCAATATCCCTGGGCCCTCAGCGGATCTTGTCTGTTTCATCACGCTCTTTTATTCCCAGACTCAATCGCTGCTGAAAACTGCCGGGATGGTCGGGATGAGGGTGGGTTTGATAGGGCTAAGAAAGGGGTTCATTTTTGTTTTTACTTTCTGTATGGCATAATTGTGTTATTAAAAAAAAATGTTTTCCAACACAGCTTGTGGTTTCATTTATTTTCTTACGATCTTTTAACAGTCATTTATAAAATGAACAACATATCTTTATTTGTACAAAAAGAATAATGCACAGCAACAATTTAGCCAAGTTGAGTGTAGGTAGTATAGAGCGCGATATAATTTGTGCACATTAGATAACAGGTATTCAGACAAATAATTTGCTACAGCCAGAAGATTTTGGCTGGTCCCTAACTTTTACTCCAGAACCTGGTGTCCTAGGGGTAGAATACATTTTTTACCGCTTTCACAAAAACAATCCATAACTTACTGAATTCTACTGGAATTTTAAGTAATGGAATAGCTTCAAGTTGCAGGTAATTGCAAAGTGGAAGTAAACACAAATTTTATATTTAAATCCTCACGTTTAACCCGAATTTTATGTATCCACCCCACTCTGATTCAATCCTCAGTAATCAATTGCTTTAGAAAGTCAATTGATTATGCTTATAGTTTAATCCCGGCTGTTATTTGAAGTTGTATAGATGCTTTTACAAATTGCAACATGAAGACAAGTGAAATACACCAAACAGATGTGGTGTTATAAGCCAAAGTCTCTTAAATGCATCTCAAGTCAGGATGCCAACCTCGAGACTCGACAGCATGATGCTGCCATTACCATGTTTCACACTGGGAATGGTTTCTTCATTGTTAGTTTTTCACAACATTCAGCATCTTACATGTATTTAAAAAATATATATTTTGAAGCCAGATTTTATAGAGCTGTAATATTCTGTTGGTCTTCCATATAACGTATTAAAACACCTTAAGTCGAACGAATGTTTGTAAATGGACAAAATTTTAAATAAACTCAAAAACGGTACATTTATTTTTATATATATATATATATATATATATATATATATATATATATATATATATATATATATATAAAGTTTGCATGACGTAATTATTGTGCGCCATATTAGAGGGGTCATAATCAAAGGGGCGGAGTCACCCCGGCGGCGGTGAAGGCGGTGTGACACCTGCTAGCTTTTCAAATGAAACCTCTGTTGTTTAACAGAGTCTTTCGGTTCTGTAGTTTTTCATCGAGGAGGACGGAGGTCCACGGAGAAAAACACCAGCAGACATGTCGTACTGCAAACAGGAGGGTAATTTGAATGTTTTCTGGCTATATGTCGGCTCATGGTTTGGTAATCTTGGTGAGCCAGCATGCTGGATGCTAGGCTAACGTCTAGAAACTGTTAGAACTTCCTGTAGTCCCTAGTGCTTCAGATAGCGAGCTTGGAAATAAACATTTTTGGTTGTAAAGTCAGGCTGGAAATGGCATGTAGCTAAACATACTAATAAAGCAGTTTAAAAGAGTAAATCCTTCCCAGTGCTGAACTAACAGCACTAATCCTTTTATCTAGTGCCACCACCAGGGGTCGCTGTTGATCCATAACTGTAATACCAGTGACAGTTTGCTGTAAACTTGCAAACGAAGCACTTCTAATTATTGTTTTTCCATTGATTGCAATTGAAGGTAAGGATCGGATCATCTTCGTGACCAAGGAAGATCATGAGACCCCCAGCAACGCCGAGCTGATAGCAGACGACCCTGAAGACCCATATGAGGAGCGGGGTTAGTATTATATTAAGGAGAGCTGTCATTTAAACGTATTTTTCTTTTTAGGTTGTAGTAGCTTTAATAGTAGAAAGCCTGGGCAGTGTTGTGATGTAAGAAAGCCATCCATTTCTATTGAAAAGGTTATACTATTGAGATGAAGAGCGCTCTAATTTATACTTAAGCTACTTGGACTTAAAAAAAAAAAACACTTTATACTTCTTCCATATATATCTGCTAGATATGTGCCAACTTTCATCAGAAATGGTAGAGCTCCTTTGCTTTGCTTTGCTTTCCTGGCACAATAATGTCTTGAAATCAAAGTCCTTAAATCATCAATATAATATTCATGTCACATGGATATGACATGCAGCTGGAGACTCTGTACAAATTATTTCACCTCAAGTTTTGCTTACGCTCCTGCATTGCTGAGTGTGAATACTTCACTCAGCATAACACTACCACCGCCTTGTTTTACAGTTAGATATTACAATCTAGAAAGCATATATGCAGAAATATTGCAAAATGGCTCCATTTGCGTTTTCAGAAACCATTTTCATTTCACAGCGTGTTCTGTTTTCTCTATGGACGCGCTCTATTTTTATGGTTAGGGTCAATGTGGCTTCACTGTGGACAGTAATCATGATGTTCCTGCAGTGTTCTGTTTAAAGGGGCCTGGAACCTTAGGCTTTCTTCAAGGTCGATAGCCATCTGATGAATGGATGTAACTGTTTAACTAGGCCGTGTATTTATTTTAGGGCTGCAACTAACGATTATTTTGAAAATCGATGAATCGGCCGATTATTTTTTCGATTAATCGATGAATCGGACACAAAATATTTTTTTTATATTAACCTCTTTATTCCAAAATAAACATTTTAGACAGAACAAACAAGTACACAAGTACAGGTTGCTCATTAACTGTACTATATGAAAAATAAATGTTTGTTTTAAAACTACGCAAACTTACATGAGAAATGTAGCTGAACATCCACAAAATATAGGCTACTTTGTTTCATAAAGTGCAAAAAGAGACAGGCATTTTTGTTTTTTAAAGCCCCTAAGGGGTTCAAACAATAGGCCCCCCCATTTCAACAAATGAGTTTTTTTTAGACTAGAAGAGTTCTGCCTTTTAAGACAGGAAAGTATAGCAGTTAAAGTTGCTACTTGAGAAAATACTGAACCATAGAGATAAAAATAGCCCTGTGATTCAAATTATAAATTGTATTTGGAATAAAAATGAGAGAACTAGGGGTGGTAAAAACACATCCTCCAAAGACAGATATTTACATGGGAATGTGGCATATACTTAATTGACATATTACTGATCTTGCTGGATTTTATTCTGCTTTACTTCCATAAATTGCAGGATCTTCTTTACTTTATCTTTGCCAGAAGATTTAAACTTTAAAAGCCTTGCCCTCATAATTTGCAAATTAATTTATTTATAAAGAAAATATAAACGCTGCTTAAGCTAATTCAAATGAAATTAAAAGTAAAATAAGTAGCCAACCTTATCACTGTCTGTAACCTACTAACACGGTAAGGAAAGCATCAGATGAGCTACCTGAGAAACTAACTTACGTTTCCCCACTTTAAAATGAAACAAACATGGTTACTCATCCTGCTGATCAGCTATCTTCACTGCCATTGAAGGCTCCAACATGTTTTCTTTTCAGGTGCTGCGTCATAACAGTGGTGCTTCCGTGCCATGTTTATTTGTTTTTACAAAAGTTGCATGTTACGACTTTTTTCACTTTACAAAGCGCAGGCTATTTTTATTATTGTGATCAATTTGCGCCGGGGCATGCGCGCTTCATTTGCAGTCTGGACGCTGAGGGTAAACTCCTCACTAAAATCCTGCGGCTCGGACTGCAGCGCTGAGAGGGATTCTTGTGGGAGAGGGAGAAAGGCGTTGGGATGGGGGAGGCGCCCCACTGCAGCAGCTGCCGCTGGAGGACAAGAGTAGGAACGATACATGCTTTCACGTAAGAGTCTCCAAAAGCCGCCAGTGACACCGTAAAAAGTCGCGAGATTTGTCGCTAGTCGCTTTTTAAAAAAATAGTCGCTGGAGGGGTCTGAAAAGTCGCTGAGTTGGCAACACCGCAACTGCGGCGCTGACTCGCTCCGCCATATTTTTTTTTCTTCCCCGGGATGACGGCGGCGGCGGATGACGCATTAATCGCGCGACACAACTAATCGATGATTAAATTCGTTGCCAACGCTTTTAAAAATCGATTTTTATCGATTTTATCGATTCGTTGTTGCAGCCCTAATTTATTTCACTGTATGTTATTTAAAAATCATCATGAACTTATCTTAATTAATGATCCAAATTTATATAGGAAATCTATTGATTGTATTAACTTTTTTCTATTTAAATGAAAGATTTCTGATAACTGAATAGAATCTTGTAGTTTTCAATTCAATTCAGTTTATTTATATAGCGCCAAATTCACAACACATGTCATCTCAAGGCACTTTACAGTTCAACCAGATCATACAGTTAAATTGATACAAAGTTTTCTATCTAAGGAAACCAGTTGATTGCATTGACTCATTGACTCAAATACAATCCCTCACACTAATAATGTGATGTATAGTCCTGTCTCAAATCTTAGAATCCCCCTTTTTTAATAAACACACCCTTTAGCCGTGATTTTTACATAGAAAATAAATGTTGGATATATTTGAACCAGAACAGCCAAAGTCTTTTAGGGTTAATTAGTGAGGTATTGTTTTTTTTTAACACCTAAAAGTTTAGACAGTTTTTTTTTTCTGTAGGATTGATTTAAATATTTTAATGTTACACCTTAACTGACCCGTGTTCTAAATGTTTTTGTTTTTTTCAGAAGGCCTTATTTTACCCAGCGGAGAGATCAACTGGAACTGCCCCTGCCTGGGCGGCATGGCCAGTGGACCCTGTGGCTCTCAGTTCAAGGAAGCGTTTTCATGCTTTCACTACAGCAAAGAAGAGGTGAAAGGCTCCGAGTGCATTGAACAGTTTCGAGGCATGCAGGAGTGCATGCAGAGATACCCCGACCTCTACCCCCAGGACGAAGATAAAGAAAACTCTTCCCAAGCTGATTCGGGCTCTGCGGCTGATGACAACTCTGCTCTCTTGCCTGAGAATGACCCCACAACAGAGACATCTGAAGTTTCTGGTGACAAAATGTCATCTACGGTTAAGCAGACGGCTAACTAAAGCCACCACACCATCACAGAGGGACTCTTATTGAGAAAAAAAAAGAAGAACATTGTGACTGATTTTCTTTTGAGCAGTAAAAGCTGATTAACTACCGACACATTTGAAGCAGGGATTTGAGTCATCAGACTGGACCTGCAGCAGTAGGTTATCTTGCTGTCATTTTGGTTATTGGAGCCCATCACGAGCACACTAACCAAACCAATATCAGTTAAAGCTAAAATGGCTTGATATTTTATTTTATTTTTTTAACTACACATGCTTTGATGCGTAGCATCAACAGTGTTTTTTGCCACTTGAAACCAAAAACAAGGAGAAGATCAAGGCTGCTGTAAACCGTCTTGTGATGTAGATGTTCTGATGTTTCTGTGCTCATTGTCCAGCAGAAACGTCTATCCCTGCAAAGTGCTGCAGGCAAGGATTGTGTAGCTTCCTTAAAGTTTTTGCTGTCAAGACAAAAAGTCATTAGTTGGTTGTTGAAATGACCTTCATAGTGTCTGTGAGTAATACTTATCTTTGTTGAACTGGACAACTTTTATTTGTTTTCCACCAATTGCTTCAAGGAAAAGTTCATTACGCATTGTCTAATATGTGTGTATTAGTCCACAACAGAAGAATTAAAAAAAACAATGATAGGCCAGGACTTGACATTTAGATCAGGGAGCTAAAAACGAAATTCAGGAATAGAAAATAAACTCATGGTTTAAGTAAATTCTGTGTTTATTATTTCCCTTTATTTTAGCAAAAAGAGAAAAGAAAATCAGCTAATCTGTTCAATTTTTTTTTTTATCTATTTATAATCAGATAGCAAGAAGTGAGGAGTTCTAGAAGGACCACAGTTGCTGAAAAAGATGTAATTTTAAATGTAAAAATTTTGTTTATTTTGTTTGGTTTTGGCCTAATTTCTGCTCTTATTCGCTTCAGCCAATGGCATCTTTTAGAGTAGGCACGTTAAAGATCAATAAAATAATAAATTGCTCTTTATTGGTCTAACACCTAAAATGAGGTTTAAGCTTGTAACACTGAACAACTTTAAAATGATTTTCAAGAATCCTCTGAAGGCACTGTAATTCCTTCAGTTTTGTGAACTCACCTGGCCATGAGTTCGCCTTTTTGGTCTTTTTTTAACATCACAACAGCCACTTCTAAAAGTTCTCTTTTTGGGAAAAGGTCTGTTCTATATCAGGTTAGTCCCTCTAAATTCAGCTCTGCCTGTTGGAATCATAGGCATCCATTCATCAAGCCCACTGAGAAAAGCAGAGATAGCCGAGGCGTCCATGGAACCACGACACTCTGCAGGGTGACCAACAACCGACCCGTTCCAGGCTCCTCTGAGCCAGCAAGCAAGTATTCCACACCTGAGGGGGGGAGAACAGTGCAAAACAAGATCTTTTAAGACTATTTGTTTCTGAAATACAGAAATTATAGATTAGATTTGTATTTTAATGTAAAATTGCTATGTTGAAAATGCAGCATGATTTTGGAGCAAGTGTTTACCTGGGTTTAGGATGGGGCAGGTGCAGCCACGGCTGGTCCAGGACAGAGGGTACACACTGATGATCCCCAGGTGCAGCCTGACCTGACCAGATCTAAACACCTTACGAACTTTAACCCTCACCTCTGCATGGCTGCCTTTGTCATGAGCCGACAGCACACTCGCCTTGATCACTGTCAGGAGCCATAAAGGACAATGAGATTTTTTGAAGCACAGTAAATATCGCATATTGTAGAGAGGAGCAGTTTTTACATCAGGTGATGCTTTAAAGTTAAATTTCTCACCGTAGTCATGTTTGGTCCTGCAAAGGTCAGTGAAACCTCTCAGGCTTTTCTCCTTACACCTGCATTTTCCTGATTAAGAAAAACTATGTTAAATTATTTATTTTTTCTTCTTCGGTCTAAATTATTCCTGATAGTGCAGATGGCCATCACCTGTGTTGTGTGAAGCAGACACTTCAAGCTCCTTCGACCATGACACTTCTTCCTCAGCCGTGAACATTTGATCCACATCTGGGATTTTTCCACCAATGGGCACATTCAGTACATAATTATTTGGAAAGCTGCAAATGTGGAGAAAAAAAATTAAACCATAACAAAGCATTACAGTTACGCCCTTACAGTATTAATGCCCATTAAACATGTTTGTTTACATATTTTTTATGTTACGACTATGATCATCAAAGTATTTGAATCATAATTTGATACACGCATCAAGAGTTTCAAAAACATGGCTGACATTGCATTCTGGGACAGCGGACTCTAAAACGCACAATGCTCAGTTCGCCTCAGTTCGCTGGGTGAGGAACGCTAAATTCCCCCCTGAAAAGTTTTCTGTTAAAAGGTATTCCGAAAAAAGCTAAGCTATTACTTAGCTTAGGTTTACTGTTTCACATTATTTTGTAAAGTTAAAAAACAATCTTTAGCTTTATCTCGTAATATTCATAATCCAACTTTTATAAAACATTCATGCTTGAAGTAACGGCCATTCTATAAAGCTTTATTATATTTTTTCCATGAAATATAGGTGCTGAAAACAAATAATTGCATGAAATGTTTTTCTGTAACTTAGAAATAGGATTTGGACATTGAAACTGGGTCATTAGTGGATACACAGGCTGCTGTAAGAAGAAAGCTGAAATCTGCCATATTTTCCTTTGAACTCATATTTATATAGTATATATTTATATAATAAAAGGCAAAGCAGCTCTTACTTTTCAAATTATACATTTAATTAGGGCTGAAACCATAATCATCAACTCATTTAGCAATCAATCGTTAACAGGAGTGTAGAGCCTGCAAAACATGTCTTTAGCTGACAGAGCATTTGAGATTAAAATAACTTTTTCGTCTGTCAATAAGTTCCATCCAGAACTCCTCAAAAAGTTTGAGTTTCACCTGGTTTAATTTTGTGAAAAATCTTCTTTAAGGAACCTTTTGCTATCCGATTATTAACCAATTAATTGAAAAAATAATCAACAGATTAATCAATTTGCAAAATAATCTTTAGTTGCAGCCCTACACTTAATAATTCATATCAAACTTGGCCATTGTAAACTAATCATTTTTTGCTCACTTTTTAGGGCCTGCTGTCCTAGAATGTAATCAGTGGCAGCCATGTTTTTGAAACTATAGATGCGTGTAAAGGACAGGTGTTTCCAAGAAAGTCCCACTCAAAACTAAATAAAAATCTGCTCCTACAGTTGATTTTTATTTGATGCTCTCCATTTATTCTAATGAAATCTGGTTTTATAAAAAAAAAAAAAATTTAATTCTTATGCTTGGAAGCCATTTTAAGCATAAAAAAACCAAAACAAACTGGAAATGGTTTTTGCATTGTTATATGCTCAGATTTTCTTTTATCAAATGAAAGGGTATTGTTTCAGGGTTTTTATAAATTTCTACCTTTTCAGACAGTGCCCGGTAGTCTGGTCACAGCTGTGTGAACAGACACACGGTTTGCAGCCATCTTCTCCAAACCCCCAGAAGCCAGACAGGCAGTGACTGCAGCTCACACCCCCTACACCAGGCTTACAGTGGCACTGGCCGCTTTTAGGGTGGCACCAGGGTCCAACCTCCCCAGGTAGAGGAGGCAACGCTCCACGAGGATCACACCAGCAGCCTGAGATGGATAGATGCACATTTTGTTTGTGAAAACTATTAACTTTTTCTTCGATTATCTATTAGACCACTAAAGGTTACATATTGGTACCATCTTTCTCCTACATTTAATATTTAATCCTCTTAATTAAAGGTATAGTGAAAGATTTTCTCGAATTTTTAAAAAGACCCACCCTCTCTACTTAAAAAAAAAAAACACCTATTAAACGCGTGCAAAGGCAAAGTCGACATTCTGTTTGAAAGTTGCTGTTTGCATCGCTCATACAAGCTTACATTACAGAAGATGATTCTCAATTTTTCCACTATGTCAGTCTGACCACCAGTGTTATGCCAAGAAATACCTGCCTGCCGAGCATTAGCTCCCCTCTCGCACACTGATGGGAAAATGGATGAAATATGAATGAAGAGAGAACTTTTAAACATATTCTTAATATTTTTGTATTTCTTATGCATGGATACCCTAAAATGTAGAGTTTTGGTGGATAGATAAATGGTAAGAAATTCCTGCCTGCCGAGAATTACCTCCCCTGTTGCAGGAGCATGCATCGCCCTCAACTTTCGCACACTGATGAGAAAATGGATTGAAATATGATTTAAAAGGGATCTTTTAAACATATTAATGTTTTGTCAGAAATGATATAAATTGGTGTTGATAACAAAAGCGGGAAATGCTATCCACTGAGCAGAGAATATAATCATCAACACTGACTGTAGCACATTGACTATAACGTGTCTCCATACAAGTAATTTTGTAGTCCTTGGACTTTATCTATCCACCAGAACTCTGCATTTTGGGGCAACCATGCATTAGAAATAATAAAAACATTAAGAATATGTTTAAAAGTTCCCTTTTTGTTCATATTTTAATCCTTTTTCTCATCAGTGTGAGGGTATTCTCAGCAGCCAGGTTTTTCCCAGGACAGGGTTAGGTGAAAATGGGGACGAGGACGTAGGACGGCCTCACGGAAACATCACCAGAATGATTGACAGTTAGGAGGACCACTTATTTTGATGATCCACCCTGAAAAAGAACATCCTCCACTATATCTTTAATTCATATTTAGTTGACTCTTACGTGTACAGGCGTGGGGAGACCTGAGGGGTACTAACATGCGGCGATGGTAGCCATGACGGCAGCGCTGACACCTGCGGCCCTCAGTGTTATGTTTACAGTTATCACAGACACCCCCGCTGGTTCCACCCGAGGAGATCCAAGTTCGCAGAGAGAGGTGACAGCTATCTGCATGGCCATGGCATTCGCACTCTTTAACATCAGTGAGGTGCCATTACAAGTGTTGGAGGAAAGAAGGAAAAAAAAAAATTTTATAAACAATTTTGACCAGAGTCAAGGACCTGGATGCTAAAAAGGTCAAATAACTTAGTCTGATCAAACTATCGATCACCTACTGGAACACGGGTTCGGTTCACCACTGCTGCCGTTGGCAGGCCTCCAAGGCCGGTCGTTATAGAGTGGGGCACACCTCTCACAGTGATCCCCTTCAGTGTGGTGAACACATTGACACTTTGGAAATACCTGGGAAGCAAGTGAGATGCTCATCAGTCTCCTATTCAACATTAGTGAATTTTTACAAACGCATGTTCCCTAGATACACAGACAAAAACAGTTCAAGGTCCAAGAGAAGAAAGTCATGATAATTAACTTGATCAACAGATACTTTTGGTGGGATTTTACTACAGAAAAAAAGGAAAAAACTATGCAGAAAAAAAAGTAAAATGCTTTTGGTTCCCCTGGAAATGATGGGTAAAAAGCCTTTAACCCAATGTTATTACAGTATTTATTTGGATTTTAGAAATCTATGAGTAGAGTTTATAGAGGAAAGTTTAAGCATACATGATGACTTAAAGTCAATTGAGCTGTATGTTTACTTTTAGAATAACATTTTACCTCTAAATTTGACATCCTTTAAAAGGAAACTTCATTAAAAGAACCAACAAACACATCTCTGTACTATAGGACGCCATTATCAAACTCAAGTCAAATGTTCACAGCAATATATTAGGTTATTAAGTCCATAATTAGAGAATTTTGTTTTGTATCAAAATGACTTTATCCCCAAAGGATTCATATATTTAAAAAACACCACATTTCTTTACCAAACTAAATTAACAAGTTAAATACGTAATTTACAAGCTAAATATCTCACTTGTTAATAAATTATTATTTAGCAATCTACATATTTAGCACAAAACTAAATATCCAATTACAATCTCAAATTGTAGGTTGGAGCTTAAATAGATATTTAGTTTATAAACTTAATATTCAACTTTTTATCTAAATATCAGGTCAGGAAATGATTATTTAACTGGAGGCTAAATATTGAATTAGTAAATAAATAATTAATTTACTACCTAATATTTAGTTTGGAAACTAAATATGTAAAAATTGGAAGTAAATATTTATTTTGCAGAATAAATAATTAGTTTGGACCTAAACATTTAGGATGTGACTAATAATTATATTTTAAGGTAAATATTTAGTTTGTAAGCTAAATATTTAGCTTTCTGAATAAATATTTAATTAACACATCAAATATTTTGTTTTTTATTAAATTTTGTGATAGGAAATGCGATATGAATGAATGTTTGATTGATGTGACGATAATGTGACTTTGAAAATCAAGCCCATGCTTTTCTCTTTTTGCAGGCTAAATAACCCAAAATATTGCTCTCAATATCTGAATGGGTAACTTTCTAAATGGTAGCCCATACTATGCATGACTCAGACACTCACCATGTCACTTTTTTGTCTTTTGTCCTCATTGCCTTTATATGGTATGCAATATTCAGCATGTCCATGGCACAAGCATGTCCCCCTGGCCTGTAAGGTATAAATAGCATATGGTACTGAGGGTGTGCTTTTTAATGAGTCTGTGGGGTTTGTCCGTTCTGCTGAATAGTTTATAGACACGGGACAAGTCTGAGCTTTCAAAAGTCTGATGCGGAGATTTGTGACGGTCAGGCGGACAAGGGCCTCTGGACTATATGGGTCAAATGTTCTTGCACTGCTTGGATCCAGAGTACGTAAGATTACCTAGCAGGAAAGAGAGAAGAGAGGTAAATACCACTGAATGTAAATTCCGAAAATGCTTGACATCTTTGTGAAAAATCCCTTTACCTCCCCTCCAGTGCAAGGTCGAGGATTAGAGTAACGGGACGTGCAAAGTGAGCCCGGCTGATTAAGGTCATCGTCCAGATCGAATTCCACCCTGCAGTTGTGAGCATATATCCTGAGAGCCTCCCATGTCTTCCCAAAATCAGCTGAACGCTCAATGACCATGGAAGCAGGCCTGGGAGACCTGAACACCAAAACTATATGAGAGAGGTAGAAAGTTGTCTCTAGATTCAGCCGGATCTCATCCTGCTTTACGTCATCTCCTCCTGATGCTCACCAGGTATCAGGGTGCAAAAATGGGTCGTCGGTCATGAAGGAAGGAGGATGAGTGTTATCTGGGCATAAATGGGGTGGATAGGAGCACAAACGTTGGTGGGAATTGTTGTTAACACAGCAGCTTGACAGGGTAAGAAGTTCTCTGCCACTGGCCAGATTCCCAAGGGGTGGACTGCAGGGTTGGTCTACACATCTAGAAGCTGTAACAAACACAGTATACATTTGTAAATATAGCAATTTTATGAAGGCCTCAGTTCAATTCAATTCAAAAATACTTTATTGATCCAAAGGGAGTAAGATGTTATAAATGTCAGTAACTCTAGGCAGAAAACAACTTCTGCAGTAGTCTGTTTGGCATTTAATCTGGAGCAGCCTTTGAATAAAGACACTTTGCTGTGTTTAACAATCTGAATGAGAGCTTGCAGTAGTCAATAACATTGTCTATTTTAATTATTTTTTAAACCATCCCTGGAGGTTGTAGAGGAGTATCTAGAACACAGCTTGTTGAGCTTCTTTCAGTCATTTTCTCTGATGCTGTGACCACAACAGATGGTGGCAAAAGAGATAACACTCTCTAACAGACCCTGAAGGACCTAGGCTTGCTTAAGGACTGTCTGCTCCATCTGTAGACGGCTTGACAGTTGTTTGCAGTTGAGTTTGTTGTCCAGATGAACACAAGGTATTTATGTTCCTCCACCAACTCCACTTCTTCTCTCATTCGACTTGCAAAAACTCCTTTAAAAAAACTGCAGTCATCTCCATTGTTTTGTTCATAATCAGGATCCGATTATGTAAAACCATTGGGATTATGTAATAAACAATATCCAGGTGATTTGGTTAAATGAACACACGTATAAAAAGTCTCATAAAACTGGAAGAGTGATTTTGTTTTTATCTTACAGGCCAGGTGTTTTTAGAAGAGCAAAAATCCGGCCAATGGATCCAGTGATAAACAACTCAGGTGGGAAAATCTGTCGACCCAAAAGATTGATGTTTATTATGAGAGAAGAAGAGACTGTTTTTAAAGTTAAGTACATTAAAGCCTTGCAAGCAGTGCACCACAAACCATGGACACAGCAAACATGTGGAAGAAAGTGCTCTGGTCAGATATGATAAACACAATGTGTTAAGTGTGATTGCACACCGACATGAAACACAGCATCCTTTCAGTGAGACATGGCAGAGGCAAGCTTTTCTCTGAAACCACAGGGAACCTGCACAGATACATCTCTAAATTGACGGACCAAACTAAATATAGAATTATCCTGAAATGGAAAATATTTGAGAATGGCACAAAGCTTCAGCTTCGAACACAACACAAGCCCAAAAAATCAAGTCATGAGTGGATGTTAAAGATCAACTTCTAATATCTGGCAAGGTACAAGAGTTAGATGTTTGCTGTTTGCAGACCCTGTGCCTGTAATCGGATAAGGTAAGTCATTTTAGTCTCTAAGCAAAGCAGAAATATACACTGAAGAGACTTTTAGTAGTTGGTTGTTGAATTTTATTAATCTAAGGGCTGAACATAAATCACTTTTAAACATTTATGAGGGTCTGCCATATAAAATCCTACAAATACGGTTTCCACTGCTGAGATAATGGACAAAACCAAAGTCAGCCTCACTCTGTACTCTATAAATTATTAATTAACATGGCAATGGTGTCACTGCTGCTGCTTGTTAAAGAATCCAGCCTATCCCACCTCTGGGAATCAGGAGTTTCTCAGATAACACTGAATGGAAAGAAGAACACTTATACACATCGATTAAGACTTTTGCTTCTCTTTTACAGAAAAGCATGGTACAGAGGTTGTAGAAATGGAATCTGCATGATTATATGTAAGGATCAAATGAACAGCATCAACAGGAAAAAGGCAGTGGCGCTCCTCACCTGCTCCACTGCGCGTCGCCCATAAAAGAAGCCATCCAAACGCCACCAGCACGCGCTGTCCTCCTCTGTCCAGCACCTTTAACACCTTCATCCTTATTTGTGCTGAAGGCATTACGCACACGGTGCGATGAAAGCCTTTCCGTAAAAACTAGTCTCCGCATTGCGCTCATCCCGGTTAGAAAACATCTCCCTTCTGGTTACACAACGCACAGTGGAAGAAAAGAAAAAGTTTATAAACCCTCTTTGGACAGAGCTGGATGGTTAATCCCAACAACAAAATTCAGCTAATTTGTTTTGGGTATTTATTGTCTATTTATGTATCTTTTTGTTTATTCATACGGATACTCCCTATTTCCATGATGAAAAAGAAATGAAAATAAATACCCCTTCTATTCGGGATTATGTCCCCAGATCTTCATTGTCTTTACATGGGCTCTTCGTGTTTGCGCACTATTTACGCAGGGGAGGAACACATGCGGTGGTACATAACCAAACCCACCTACACACCCCTTCATTCAGCAAAAAAGTAACTGAATAGAAACACAATGGAAAACATAGTTATAGCAGTTATTAGACCAACTGTTATTATAACTTTATATTTGATAAGATAGATAGATAGATAGATAGATAGATAGATAGATAGATAGATAGATAGATAGATAGATAGATAGATAGATAGATAGATAGATAGATCTCAAGCTTTGTTTTATCTTCAAAATCGAAATGGGCAACAATTACATCTGATATTGGGATCTCGTGCGCTGTTGCGCACCGCACCCACCCTCTACCGTAGACCTTTTGTGCTGCAGATGGCATATATATTCACTTTAGACAGGGGCATTATTCTCTCCAGGACAGTAGACACAAGTAAAAACTTCTTAGGAAGTTTATTTATACTTTCCAACATGTTTTCTCATATGTTTGTAACTGAGATCTCAATGGATGATAGTGATACTGGTAAAGGGTGCAGTAGGCCTATATTGCTCCTACTATTTTTATGACACTACTATATAACACAAATATTAGGGACATCTGTCAACATAATGGACCTCAGTGGTGCAGCATTAGTATTGAACAAAGTAGTAATACCAGAGATGTAGCCTGTTAGTCAGAATAAGATGGTCGTCGTGGATTTAAAGGGACATGACCTCAGGGGGTTTGGCTCGCATTTGTTCCTCAACAATGGAATAAGGTCATTTATGTTCAAAATAACTAAAGAACAACTTCATTTTCTTGTTTCCAGTGCATAAAATCTATACTTTTTTATATTAAGAATGAAAATACTACAAGTAACCGGATCGATCACAACAGCCTCCACTCTGGGTTACTCCCTCAGCGCCTAACAATGGCAGCCCAGTACTCCCAAAATGGGATGGATCAAAATGCAGAGAACCAATTTCTGCCCATTTTGAGACATTAAAGGGATTTGGCTGTTGCTATTTTAAAGGACACCCCTAAATGCATGAATCCACCAGGCCTTAAAACTTTCCCCCCTTTTTTTTTTTTGATTAGCCTTTTACTTGACTTGGTTTATTTTCAGTAGTGTATGTTTGCATAGTTATTAGATACAATAACACTGCAATAGGGGTTATTATGTAAAAAAGATACCAATATTTCAACTGTGGTTGTTTGTGATATTGAACAATTTATTATTCAGAGCCAGATCCACCTTTTTGGTTAACACTCTTATAAACCGACCAACAATTTCCTTTGGTTGGTGATTATATGCTGATAGCCACAGTCTAAATGACTAAACTGGTGAAAGACAACTGGATTTTAACAGCTGGTCTAGAAGCATCCTTGGATAAAAAAAAACCTTGGATAAAAGAATAAAGAGCATTGGCGAGTAAGCAGATTTCAGTTATAATCAATTAATAATTATTAATTGATTTTACCTTTGATTTGAATTTCCTGTTAATTAACTTTAATTTCCAGTTCTAATCATTTATTGTATTTATGTTCTTCTGGTAAAATTGCACAACACCATTTGAAAATTGTTTTGCCTCTTTAAAATTCAAGGAAAATGTTCAATAAAACTAAATAAACTTTTATTTAAATGCTTTCAGTACAGGTGCCATAACAGGCCAGGACCAGTTTTACAGGGGCACTGGCCCCTGTCTACAAGCTTCCAGGTGTTGCTGCTGACACTGGCTCACCCACGCTGCTAATACAAACTAGCGTCACACATTCAAATGCGGTCATTTCATTACCCTGGGCATCATAACGAGGCTTGGAAATGTGTTTATTGGCTCCTTTCCACTTGTTTTTCAGCTGCAGTAATTTGAAGTTACAAGTCTCTTTGAACTGTAATGCAAAGAAACCTGAGCAGGCAGACTGAAATAGTCCTCAGAGTCATTAACAAGCAGCTAGTGGTGTTACGGCACCAAAAGAATCTGTCAGCTTTCAGTTTCATCCAAATTAGCAAGAAAGAGCTTTCTCCCATACGGTTCCTTTCTTTTAATTCTTTGTTATTCCTTGTTGTAAAAACTGATCATATACGCAAAGTACATGGAAGCCCTTATTTTTGACTTTCAACTACAGGAAACATGTAGCCCATTGTTGAGTTGTTGTTTCTTTCTCTACCCTGGCTGACACAGACCAAGCTGGAGGAATATATGCAATGTCAGTTTAGATTGAAGGCTTCACTGGGAGCAAAGGGAGCTCAGAAAATTGGAATGGACATAAGGAGATGTGCAAATTTCTTTCAGACCTGGATCCTTGTTTTTGTTTCTTGAGAAAAGATTCAAAGACATGATTATTAAAGACTGACAGAGCAATGTTGATGATGTTGATTACGTTTGTTCTTTTTGAGGCAATGTTTTAGAACAAGCTGACAGTTTTAGTAGCATTCTGCTGTCACATTTTGGCATCATCTGACTTTCTTCTAATCAGATTTATTTGCCTGAACGCTAAGCTTGGGTTCTATCTATTCTTATGGTCTTACAATGGTCATAAAAATCTGTTGAATCAGACAAAAATAATAAAAGATCAAAAAATTCTATAGAAAGGAAAAAATGAAAGTCAGACATTACTTTTTAATAATGCTTCAAATAGAATAATTTTAAACACTGGCCTGAGGAAAAACGATGGTACCCCTTGAAAATACTTTAAATAATGTGACCAAAGAACATATTAAATCAAAGTGTGCCAAACAATTAGAGTCAGTCAGTGGGTCTACATATAAGGCTACACACAGTAAATGTTGCATTGTTAAAGTAACACTTTTACAGAAAAATTGGTCCCACACTAATTGAGAGTGGGGACAAATGTACTCTTGAGTGTTACTGTAACACTGCAATATTTATTGTACAGGTAATTACTGTCCTGTTCGATGACATGGTCTTTACAACATTTAACATGGATAGGAAGCAAAGGAAAGAATTGTCCTAAGAGATTAGAAAGAAAATTGTAGAAAAGCATGTTAAAGGTAAAGGGTATAAGACCACCTTTAAGCTGCATGATGTTTCTGTGACCACAGTGGCACATATTATTCACAAAATTAAGATCCATGGGACTTAAGCAAACCTTTCTAAAAATGGCTCCAGGAGTAAAAATTAAGACGAATCATCGATAATATTGAATGTTAACAAAAGAGCTAAGAAAAGCTCACAAAGAGATTAAAGGTCAAGCTCAAGGAACATCAGCGTCAGAACACACCTTTCGTCGTTGTATTAGCTTCAGTGGACTTACTTAGGAGACGACCAAGGGAGACACCATTGTTGAAAACAAATAACCATACCCAACTCCTACATTCATGCATCAATAGTTGCAAAGCCCTGCTGTTCTTTTTTATTTATGTGCGATTTAGTAATTTATAGACATACTCATTTTAACTTTTTATACAAGATGCTTGAAAACTGTTTATGTGCACCAAATAAGTTTTTCTAGGCACTAATGGTTCTCCATCCATCTTCTGCTTCTTATCCATAAGGGTAATAGGTGGTCAGTGCCTATCTCCAGCAGTGTATGGGAGAAATGTGGGATACACCCCAGATTGTCAGTCCATCGCAGGTACACAGATACAACCATAACCCCCCCCCCCCCCCCCCCCCCCCACCACCACCACCAACACACACCTAAGGGTAATTTAGCGAGTTAACTTAGCACTCATGTCTCCAACGTACTGTGGCCAGAGTACCTGGGAAGAACCCACACATGACAACAGAGAACAAGCAAACCCCATGTAGAAATACTTTAGTACCAAGGTAACTATGTTACCATGCAGCACACCGTAGCCATTTTCTAAAAAAATTTATTTGAAATTAGACAGACAGAAAACTATGAGCTTTAAAGTAAAAAATTATGACATCCCTACATCCCAGTTTAGAGTTTCGAAGAAAATTGAACGGATCATCAGTCAGACTGGGCCACTCCAACACATGGATGAGCTCTGATCCAAATCAAACACTCAACATTTCTTCACATGGGGAAGATTTATCATATTCAATGTACATGTTGGCCATTTTCTTTCTTTTAAATAAAATGAAAAAAAAAAATATGAAAAAAAATCTGGGCCTTTAATGCACTAAAAGATAAACAGAACTCCCCTTGTAGTAAGATGTAAATAATCCAGTTCGAGAAAGTACATAAAGTACGAAAAAACATAGTACAGGATATCTGATTACTGGCAAGGCATAGCAGTTGATTGCCTTTATTTTGGTCCTGCCGTGTGCTAACCTCTCAAAACTTGCCTTACTCATTTCAAGTATTTGACTACTGCCACATTCCTTGTGGCCTCTGCTTGTTTTTTAGCTGTGGTATTCCAAGATACTTAAAGGCCTCAGAAACATCCCCTCTGTTTGGATTATCTTCCCTCTGTTTTTCAACATCTGACCACATATCTCCAGTCCAGAAGACCTTTCTGTGTCCCAGCTATAGATCGTCGTGATGTGGAGCAGCAAGTTAGGGTTTTGCTCACTCTTAGCATTTAACTTGATGTCATCCTGATAGTGATAGTGGCCCCATTTCTGAGTCCTCAAAATCCATAGCCAGTCTTGTTGATTATTTGGCTGCGGGGGTTCAGGCCAATCCAGAACCGCACAGGGGACAGAGTTTCTCCTTGGTGTATTCCATATTTGATGGAGATTTGGGAAATTGGCTCAAAATTGGGCTCAATGGTGGTTTTCCACATACCAATGAAGTTTGCAGTGAAGACTCTCACAGTGTTCATTCATAGCGTTCTGTGCTTTTGTGATGTGTTGATCCTTGTGCCTGCTGATATATTTATTTACATGTGAGAGATTTAGTTATAGATGTTAACAAAATAGAAGCTGCTAGACATGCATTTTTTGGGCCAGTTTTAAATGATTTAGAATCAGGTTCTGCCTCAGCTCTACAGGCGGAAATTAAACTTCCATGTTTTTACAGTTGAACTATGTGGATCTGTGTGTTTGAGAAAAGGGGAGCTAATGGATAAAACATAGAATTAAATCAC